CCAAATCTGAAAATTAAATGCTAAAATTAGACTAGTTTTATATTAAGGTACAGTCGAAGTTCGAACACTACATTGCACAACATGCGTTATTTATGAATTGGGACAAAATTGTTGAAATCAACCAATCAAAACGAAGAATTGAAAACGAACGCGAGAATCAAATCCCAATTTTTTTTGAATTCGAAAATAAAATGGTCAGGAGGGCTTGTTTACTTTGTGTAACTAGTTAAATTGTTTTTTACTTTGCACAAAAAAAAAAGCCACCATCAATGTTTCTTTGGAAAGCAGTTAATAATTCCTTGAGAATCGAAAGCAAAGCCAGCAAATCATATGCATCCTTTTTACCAACTGAACTTTTAATAGAAATTTTTAGACACATTGAGGATGGCGATTATAGAACCCTTTACTCTTGTATTCTAGTTAATAAACAATGGCATGATATTAATATTCCAGAATTATGGAGAAATCCATTCTATACTATTAAAAGCATTAAAATATTAATTAATTGCATATTAGTAGAAAATAATGATTTCTTAGAAAGGAATGACATTGAATTAGACATTAAAAAATTAGACAAACCACCATTATATAATTATGCAAAGTTCGCTACAGAATTGAATTTTAACAAAATTAGATACCTTGTCAGTTATTTACAAGAAGTATTAAGTAACTTTATTTTAAACCATTCAACAACTATCAAAAAAACTTATAACAGTTAAATCAGCATGTGGTTGGTTAATTAATCATCATAGGTTTGAAACTTGTTTTCAGAATCTTTATGAACTTAATTTTAGTTTTTCAAATAATCCTGAATTCCTTAATAAATTGGCACACGTTTGTAAAAATATCAAAGTTTTAACAATAGAATGTAACGGTTCTTATTTATATAACGTTGATGACGATTATAGTCTATCACAACTAATTAAGTCACAAAAGCAAATCAAACACTTGAGCATTAATGATAATTCACGCAATATGCACACCAATTTTTTAAATTTATCAGATGAACTCAAAAAGGCAATTTCCATTCATTCACAATCAATGGTTAGCTATTCTAGCATCAAAGAAAATAATTTAGATTCTTTGATACCAAGATTCCAAAATTTAAAATCTTTATCATTAAAAAATTGCAATAACAAGTTGAATAATTTAAAATCTACTTTACTTCCAAATATTCAACAAGTATATTTAGAAATCAAATTTCACTCGTTAATATCAGATTTATCATCTTTCATTAAAATAAATGGATATACTCTTAAGGATTTGACATTTGGTGGTACTCTAAATGGTGAAGGATATTTGGGAGATTTGATTCAATCAATTGGCCAAAATTGTCAAAATTTAGAACATTTATCAACCTTATACAATGTCAGGATAAATCGAGAATTAATTGAATTATTTAATAAATGTAATAAATTAAGAAGCGTTAGATTTAATAAATGTTATTGGCTTGAAATATTGGATGGTGATGAGATATTAACAGTATTAAATCAATCGTTGCCAAAAAATTTAAAATCTATAATTTTTAAGGATAAAGTTACTATTTCTGATAATTCACTTGAAATTTTAATGAAGAATTGGAATGGACCTATACCTTTTACGTTAAAATTTTATAGATGTAATATTAATGATAATATTAATAATAACAATTTATTAATTAATTTATTGAGAAAATATAAAAACCACGGATTTATAAATTATGAATATTTATAATAAAAGGTTAGTTTGTCAATATTAGAAATTAATTAAGACAACAATTGTTATTAATATAATGACTAATTAATAAGCTTATATTGTAATATTTACAAATCTGCGATATGATGAGAAGAAAGTGGAGCGAATATGATAGAGGAATGTTTAAAAAATACTTGTAATAAATAAACCTCACATCTCAATTAATTCAATAAATCAACTAACTATTAACCAACTCGGAAAAGGTGGATTGAATTGAGCGAGTGTGAGAATCAGAATTAGAACGAAAGAAAAAAAATGGAAGAAATTATTTTCTGAATAAAATAACAACATATAAAATTAAATGAATATAATAACAATTAAAAAATAAAATATTATCATTATTTCAATTTTTTTACCACCAATAGACGTTTCATATTTGGATCAAGTTTTCCCCCATATATCGTTCATAAATTTTTTTTTTGCTGAATTCACCCATTTAAAAGAAGATAATTATTTAATTTTCATGATGTTTGGCAATTTCAAAGTCTCTCTTTCTCGGAAATTTCTTGCAAAAACCCAAGATCTTTCTTCCTGTGTGAACGATGCAAGAGTTTCTCAAGCGATGATCAGTAAAAGAACTTCTTTAATTGCTAATTTTTTAAAGCTAATGTTTATTCATCCCTAAACAATGTGCTTAAACATTAAGAGTGTTTTACTAACAAGGAAAATTTTAATAAAAAGAAAAAGATGTACATCTTGAATAACATGGATAGCGCTTCGTCAAAATGTAGACTTGGTTTTATTTCTTGGCCTATTTCTTTAATGAGACGTTCAAATGGTGGTTGAGAAATGCAATTTTTGCAACCTACGAATGATAACTAAAAGAATTAATTCAATAATTTAAATTATACAGTATTATCTTGAATCGCTTGTTTCTTCTTCCATAACAAAAATGCTTGCATCATTATCGCCATTTTTTCTTTTGTGTGAACTTTTAGGTGAGTCAGTATCTAATTGCGTCAAGTCATCATCTGATGCAGTTGTAATTCCTTCTGATTAAACTTGATTTGGATTGCCCTCCTCTTCTAAAACATTATGCTTAATAAATATTGTATGTCATCGATCGATCGATCGATCGAAAATTTTCTTTTCGGATATTTTCAACATATATAAATAGCCTCTTATTTATTTACCCAATGTCATCGTCGTAATGTTATGTTTTTATTATAGTAATAGTAAAAAATGCAATAAAAAATTTAAATAAACAAATAGACAGTTTGGGCCGACAGATCACCGCCTTTTCTTTTCATGTAGGTGGCTGTTTTAAAGAAAATTACAGTAAATTGTCGCAAAGACATCCACGACATTCTAATCTAATATAATATGATTTTATTATCTATTGTTATCAACATTTCTGTTAATATTGTCACTATTATCACCATTGTTATTATTATTATTATAATTATTAATATTGTTGTTTTTATTATGGTTACTTTTATTTCTTTTCATACGTTTTTTTAATACCAAAACGTATTTTCTGTGCTAATAACCTCCTGAAAACGTGATAGTGAATAGACCTGTCGCTCGCTAATAGATTTTGGGATTTGTCACGTGCACAACGTGCCATGTACTACAAGTTAAAGCCTTATATTTTTACAGTACAGACGAAAGCTCAATTGCTTAATTAGTCAATTAATCAGATTTATTAAAATTCGAGATTCAACAAACAAAAACTAATAAACCCTTCACTCAAAATCAAAATCTAAATATCCAGCATAATAATTCAAGTTTCAGATCCATTAATTAAGGATTTATTATTAATTTCACTCTTTAATAGTTATTTCAATAGTTTCAGACTCTGATTTGTTCCAAAGCCTCATGCTTCAATTACCCTTATTATCATTATTATCCCTAGTACCAATGCCAAAGGAGGAAGACAATTCAACGATGCGATTACATGCGCTGTTATATGAATTTGTAGTAATTGAATTGAATTTCATGGTTCTAGGACATACCAAATTCAAATGTGATGGTAGCCTTGGATTGATTAAGGAATTATATCGAAAGACATAGGAAAGGTGTAGATTATTTAAAAGATCTAGTATTGCTGGAATATTCTTGAGGCTGGAGATGTATTATTCAGAAAAATCAGAAATTTCTACTATCATAAAAGATATTAAAGCTTTATCATTTCAAACATTTGACACCAACTCTTATGAACAATAATACCTTTTGTAATAATATTCGCTAATAAAAAACGGTTTGATCATAATCGCAGTTAATGTGGCGTAAAAAAATACTGCGGTGTATAAAAAAAATTTTTTTTAAGTTGTGAAACGACTGATTTTTTATATTGATAAAAATTTTTTAGAATATTAAATAAATTAGAGCAGGGAAAAATTGTTCTAATAATAAAGACGACCTTTAATAATAACAATATTATCACTATAAATATAAATTGTTTCAAGTTCCTTCTCCGTTTATTGTTATTTTATTGATTTAATTAAAAAGACGTCTCAAAATGGTAAAAATTATATTTATACTTTTTATATTTGTATTAAAAAAAATTTTTTTTTTTTAAAGAGGCAAATTTTTCTGAAAAATTTTTGTACTAATATTTAATATTCTGATTCTTTAATAAATGTTAGGTAAACTTTACCGTTGATCAAATTCGTGAGCTTGTAAGTATATTGTTAAAGGAAAAAATTTTTAAGCATTTAAGCATTTGTCAAAAAAGAATATTCCTATATTTAAATATATTGTATATTATATAAATGTATATATAGATGAACCATGTTGCCAATGTACGTAACATGTCAGTTATTGCACATGTAGACCATGGAAAATCCACCTTAACAGATTCTTTAGTATCAAAGGCTGGTATTATTTCTTCGGCAAAAGCTGGTGAAGCAAGATTTACTGACACCAGAGCAGATGAGCAGGAACGTTGCATCACCATTAAATCTACTGCCATCTCAATGTACTTTGAATTAGCAAAAGATTCTCTTTCTGACATCAAACAAAAAACAGACGGTATATAAATTTAATTAATAATAATCATTATTAGAAATAATGTTTTAATAATTTTATTAAAAAAATACTTTTATAATATATTTTAATCATAATAATCATAATAATCATAATAATCATAATAATCATAATAATCATAATCATCATAATCATAATTCATTTATAATATATAGGTAATGAATTCTTGATTAATTTGATCGATTCCCCCGGGCATGTTGACTTTTCATCTGAGGTTACTGCTGCTCTACGTGTTACTGATGGTGCTTTAGTGGTGGTGGATTGTGTTGAAGGTGTTTGCGTACAAACTGAAACTGTATTACGTCAAGCTCTTGCTGAGCGTATTAAACCTGTGGTAATTATTAATAAGGTAGATCGTGCCTTATTAGAGTTACAACTTACAAAAGAAGATTTATATACAGTAAGTTATTTTATTAAATAAAAAAAGATTATTTGCTTTTTTTTATTTTTATTTTTATTTTTATTTTTTTGTACTTGACATTTTTATATTCACATATTTTTATGTTTATAATTCCGTTGTTTTTAGTCTTTTCAACGTACAATAGAATCAGTGAATGTCATTATTTCAACGTATTACGATAAAGCTCTTGGTGAAATCCAAGTATATCCTGAGAAGGGTACTGTCGCTTTTGGTTCCGGTCTTCATGGTTGGGGATTCACCCTTCGTCAATTTGCTGAGCGTTACTCAAAGAAATTCGGTGTTGATAAAGAAAAAATGATGCAAAAGCTTTGGGGTGAAAACTTTTTTAATCCTGCCACAAAAAAATGGACCACTAAAGGTAATACTCCCGAGGGAAAACAGCTTGAACGTGCTTTCTGTATGTTTGTATTGGATCCTATATTTAAATTGTTTGATGCCATCATGAACTTCAAAAAAGAAGAGACAACCAAAATGTTGGAAAAATTGGAAATTGCCTTAAAAGTTGAAGAAAAAGAATTAGAAGGAAAAGCACTTTTAAAAATTGTAATGAGAAAATTCTTACCTGCATCAGATGCTTTACTGGAAATGATAGTAATTCACTTGCCATCACCTGTAACTGCTCAAAAATATCGTGCTGAAATGTTGTACGAAGGTCCTAGTGACGACGAGTGCGCTATGGGAATAAAAGAATGTGATCCTAATGCACCTCTAATGTTGTACGTGTCTAAAATGGTACCTACCTCTGATAAAGGTCGTTTCTATGCTTTTGGTCGTGTGTTTTCTGGTACCGTAAAATCTGGACTCAAAGTTCGTATCCAAGGTCCTAATTACGTACCTGGAAAAAAGGAAGACTTATTTTTAAAATCAATTCAACGTACAATTCTTATGATGGGTCGTTATGTCGAACCAATTGAAGATTGTCCAGCTGGTAACATAGTCGGTTTAGTTGGTGTAGATCAATATTTACTTAAATCAGGTACCATCAGCACATCAGAAATTGCTCACAACTTAAAGGTTATGAAATTTTCTGTGTCGCCTGTCGTCAAAGTAGCCGTTGAAGTAAAAAATGCAAATGATTTACCTAAATTGGTCGAAGGCTTAAAACGTCTTTCAAAGTCAGATCCCTGTGTTCAATGTTATACAGCTGATACTGGTGAACACATTATTGCTGGTGCTGGTGAATTACATTTAGAAATTTGCTTAAAAGATTTGGAAGAAGATCATGCTCAGGTTCCAATCAAAACTGGTGATCCCGTTGTATCATACAGAGAAACAGTACAAACTGAATCATCAATAACTGCTTTATCAAAATCACCAAATAAACACAATCGTCTATATGTGAAAGCTTTCCCTATGCAAGAAGAGCTCTCCAATGATATTGAAAGTGGGAAAATAACACCACGTGATGATTTCAAAGCACGTGCACGTGTCCTTGCTGAAGAATATGGTTGGGATGTTACTGATGCTCGTAAGATTTGGTGCTTTGGTCCCGAAACAACTGGTCCTAATTTATTAGTTGATGTAACAAAGGGAGTACAATACCTTAGTGAAATCAAGGATTCATGTATTGCTGCGTTCCAATGGGCAACAAAAGAAGGTGTTTGTTCAGAGGAAAATATGAGATCATGTCGTTTCAATATACTTGATGTTGTGCTACATGCTGATGCCATTCATCGTGGTGGTGGTCAAATTATTCCAACTTGTCGTCGTGTCCTCTATGCTGCTGTTTTAACAGCTACTCCCGGTATTATGGAGCCTGTTTTCCTTGTCGAAATTCAATGTCCAGAAGGTGCAATGGGTGGTATCTATGGTGTATTAAATAGAAGACGTGGTCATGTCTTTGCTGAAGAACAACGTCCTGGTACTCCATTATATAATGTCAAAGCATATTTACCAGTAAGTTATCTTATTACTAGTGAATATTTAATTGCTGGATGTATGCATATATATATATATATATATATATAATATTTTTCATAATTGTAATAATAATTTTTTTGTTTTTATATAGGTAAATGAATCATTTGGTTTTACTGCAGATTTACGTTCAAACACTGGTGGACAGGCTTTCCCACAAGCTGTATTTTCACATTGGTACGTATTTTTTGAAAAATTTATTGCGCTGTGATTTTATTTAACAATATGATAATTATTCTAAATTTTTTTTTTTAAAAAAATAGGCAACTTATGAATGGAACACCTTTAGAACCAGGAAAAATAGCTGATATTGTTAAAACCATAAGGAAAAGAAAAGGTCTTTCTGAAGAAATTCCAAGTTTAGATAAATACTTGGACAAATTGTAAAACATTATTATTCAGCATTATATCACTTGGACGAATAACTCTTGAACAAAAAAAAAAATAGTATATATTTATAAAATAATTTCCAGAAAAAAAAATTTGTATTTTAAATTAATTTTTATAATTTTTAAAATTTTACATTAAAAAAAAAAAATAAAGGAATTAATTTAATTATAGTGTGCACGTGTTCAAATTAATTTATCATTGTCACAAATTTCAGGGAATGAGCAATTACAACTTGATGTTGTGTTAATTGCTCTCAATGTTAACGATATTCTTTCATCCCTTTCTCTAATTAATCCATTATCCAGTAAATCACTTTTTCTTGCTCTATTATTAAAAATAAAAACTTTAATGAAAAAAAAAGAAGCTTCTTTTTCTTGCTAATAAAATAAAATCGAATCACCACCTTATAGTATGACTCCACAAATATCTTGCATCATCTTGAAGTATAGCTAACGATCTTTTTGGTAAATCAACGTTAACAACTTCACCAGTTTTAAAATTTTTAAATTCCATGATAATAGAACTTCCCAAACTAAATGACAAAATTGTATCACCAAATGATGAGTGACTATCAACATGAGGTGGGATTCCTGTGCCAACAGGATAAATTTGAATTGTTAATTGTTGCATATCTGGTATTGTTAATGAAGGATACAAATTTTTTAATTTCTCCAGTAGTGATTTAATGTAATATGGAAACTTTAAATTTAATTCATCAACTTTGTTTGTGTCATAATTAAATTTATAACCATAGTGTGACTATATTCACATATAAATATGGTGTGTGTGGTGTGAATGAATAAACATATATATATATGAATTAATTAATTAATTGACTAATTGACAATAATTAATGAATTTGCTAAAAAAAATTTTTTAAAGAAGAGACATATTATCACTTTACCACAAAACGATTTTGAATTTGAATCCAAGTGTCAATTGAATTTACGTGATTTATTATAATTTTTTCTAAATCAAACGAGATAAATTCCTCTAACAATATTAATCCCGGTATTTTCTCATGATTCTTATTTTTATTGTGATTAATTTGATTAATGAAATTTTGATATGATAAATTAACGAATTCAATAAATATTATTTTCCCTTTTAAAATTTCACATTGTTTATCATGAAGTGATTCTCGTGCATGAAATGCATCTAAAGCTGTTTGAAAAATAACAAAAGAATATGGCTACATCATGTTATTGATTGATTGATTGATTGATTAATTAATTATTGATTTATTTAGAAATGAGTAATAATAACCTTTGCTCAACTGCTTCAAAAAAAAAATCATAATACCTTTCCATGAGTTAAGTTTACTCCAACCCAACCTTCATATTTTTCAAAAAGTTTTGTCAACTGTTCAGAAGTAACTCCACCAACTCCACCATAACAAACATTCACCAAACATAAATATTTTGTAGCCTCGCTTGAAAACAAATTAATACAAGAAGATTTCTCAAACTTTTCTATAATCTCATAAGCTTGAATTCTTTTTGCTTCTTTTTTTCTATAATGTCTTTGTTCTGTACGTGTTAATAAGCTGGCTGCTTTATCAGAAGACATGTGTTTAATGTTACTCAAAGCTGCGTCAAATATAAAATATAAAATATCCATCATACACGATTATCCTTGACCTATTTTTCTTTATTGAATCGGTAACGATCATCTAGAGTAATAATAACAATAGCATTGTAGGTAATGAAAATCAGGATTAGCTTTGAATAGCATATTTTTTTGTTTTAGAAATTCTATATTGGTACCGATCTTGAAAATAAGAGGACAGAGAAAAAAAATAATAAAATAAAAGATTTAGAAAACAATTATGAAAATGAACAAGTGGAAAAAAGATAATTGAAAGAGCAACTAAAATATTTAAATAAGAATAAGGAAATATCCACTAATGTGAAAATGGTTAAATTAAATAAGAAAAAGCCCAGCTAAGGTCAAAGTGAAACAAATTGAAATAACGCTTGGAGAGAAAAACAAATTTATATTCTTTGATTGCTTCTCTGTTTCTATAATGAACTACCGGTATCACAATTTTGTACACTTTATATAATGCTCTTTGTATTTTTTTATTTTATTATTTCATAGTTAAATACGTAATCTTACAAATATATATTAATATTTATAAAAATAAATATTTTTGTTTATACAGAAACAGTTTTAAATATATTAAATCCTGAAGCAGCTGTTGATATCATACAACCAGAAATTTGTGAATGCCAATGTAATTCCTTGATGTCATTTTGTCCCTGTTATATATTATTACAAAGAACAAAAATATAAGTTGTTGTTAATATTATTGTATTAATACTAATACTAATAATAATAATAATAATAATAATAATAATAATAATAATAATAATAATAATAATAATAATAATAATAATAATAATAACAATAATAATAATAATAACAAATAATAATAATAACAAATAATAATGATAATAACAAAATATTAATAATAATTTAATTTTTATCTTTTATTATTATCTTTAGGATGCAGTGACTTACACGGAACATGCAAAACGCAAGACGGTCACGTCTTTGGATGTCGGTAAGTTGGTTCACAGCGTATTATTATACATTCTTTAATTTTATTTAATATATATGCGCTCAACACATTAATTATCCTTCAATTATATTAATTAATTAATTAAACTAATTAATCATTTTTTTTTCCTTAACTAGTCTACGCGCTCAAACGCCAAGGCCGTACTCTTTATGGTTTCGGTGGTTAAAGAATGATAGTTTCTCTGCTCTCAAATAAATAATAATGATTAAAGAATAATATTCTTATAATAATATTTTTTTTTTTTTATAACAAAATTAGTAAATTTTAATTAGCAATCAATAAAAAAAAAAAATATTATTTTTACTATTTTCTTTTTTATTTCATTCATTTCATGTATATAGAAGAAAGATGAAGACGAAGAAAAAAAATTATATTGAAAAAATTTTTTTTTTTATTCCTCCACTCACTTTCTAATTAATATTTTAATAAATTTCTTCACTTAATGATTTAAATTTCTTTTATAATTTGCTTTATTGATAATTTAATTAGACAAAATTTTTTAGAAATTTAAAAAAAAATAAAAATAAAATATACCTGAAAAGATATTTTTAATATAAATCTATTATTGATAAATTAAATTTATAATTAATAATTAAATTAATTAAATATATAAATGCATTCTATTATGGCGAATCATTAATATATTTTTATGTTATGATGTGTTAGTCAGTAGCAGCAGCAGTAGTAGTAGCGGGGAGAGGAGAGTTTGGAGTATTTACAAATAAATACATATAGTTGGCAAATATTCCTGAAGCTGCAAACCTACAATAATAAAAAATATTTGAGAAAATTGAGAAAAAATAATAATCATAAAAAAAATTTTAAGACATTTACAAAAGACCAGTGAATCCGGATGTCCTTCCACTATTTGGATCTTGATCTGATATTTTCTCATTGGTCACTGAAACTACAGCAAACATCAATGCTGTCCAAGATGCAAATTTTATCTGATAAATTATACAAAAATTATGTAAGAAGGATAAAAAGAAGTATAAATATAAACGCAAATCTAAAATATTATCTATCATTACTTTTAATACAAGTCCAATTGTACCTATATATATAACATACAAAACAAATATTAATAAGATATTAGAAAGATAAAATTTCTCTCATATGATAAAATACTAACTTAATAAAAGTGATGTAATTCCATAGATATCACGATCAATTTCATCAATATCTTTTATTGGTGAATGATATGGAACAGCTGCGTTGGGACGTTTTGGATCAGAAGAAGAAGTAATTGACGATGACATTCTTTAATGTAAATTCTTTAGTTATTTATTTCTTCTTTTTTTTTCTTTTTTTGGAAAATCTTAAATTAGAACTTCGTTAGGAAATATGAATGTGTTGCACGACAGACATATTGTGTAAATCTAAAACCCCGAAAAAATCATAGATAGGTTTAAATTATTTAAAAGTTTTTACAAATGTACAAAAAAATTTATATCATTTTAAAAAGTTAACTGATAGGTTTTATTGTTCGTGACTCAAGCTTCAAAAACTTATTGATGGATTTTTCTTAAACTAAAAGTTGGCCGAGTAGGTTTTGTGTAACAAAAAATTAATTTTTTTATTTGTATTTTATTTATGGGTCAAAAATTATTATATATACAATTTAATAGGGTCAAATCTATGTCGTAATCAATATCAATGAACGACTTACGTAAAAAAAATTTGTAATTAAATTCTTTGGAAATTTCCTCCAACATCTATAAAGCAGTTTGTACAAAAAAATAAACAAGTTAGTTCAACAACAATATATAACAAGTATCAAATTGTTTTTTAATTATTTAATTTTTGTTGAGTAACAGGCGTTTTGAATAATAAATCTGGCAATAATATTTATTAAAAATATAATGATTTATTGAAGGCATAAGGGTCTCAAAGCGATTAGCAAAGACAATAAAATAAATAGTCATTGTTCTACTGAATGAAGAAGCCTAATTAGATGTTTCACAATTTTAACATGTGCAGAATGAGCCTACCTTTGAAATAAAAGTTTCGATGCTGGGGTCCTTTTTTGTGATGCTTAGAGTCAAACGATATGGTTTTTGGGGTCCTGTAAATCTTTAGCCAATAAAAATTGTGGCGTTGAGGGTGATAATCTGGGATTAACCAAACAATTAGTCACAGTAACTCTCTTGTGTTGCACAAAAGATAAAATTATCAATCAATCAATCCATATTCATTTCACAATATAATTAATATAATTAATTAATTTACAAGTGATCTGTTTTTTTTCCATTTGGAAAACAAACAAAACTAGTAGATTTTTCCCTTTTTAAAAATCTCTATATAAAGTTAAACAAAATAGAATTTTCTCAAAAAAAAACTTAATTTATTTTTAATTAATTAATAATATTATCACTATAATTAAATATGAGTGATCCATCGCTTTCCTCTGAATTATTTCAATATTCTGTTGAGGTTCCTTCTGACAAAGAGGTTATAGGTGAAGGATTACCTCGTCGTAATTATCTTTCACCTGATAAATTAACCGATAATCCACCTGGTGCAACCACTTTATACGAAAATTTTTTACATGGAATTAAAGCTTCTGGTATTATTTTACAATGCCAATTTTTTAAATTTTAATAATTATTTAAGTTTTTCAAAAAATAATTTTATATTTTATTATTTTATTAGAGGGTGGAAAGTTCTTGGGACATCGCGAAATTAATAATGGCGTTGCAGGTCCTTATGTTTGGCAAACTTATACAGAAGTTGAAAAACGTGTTAGTAATTTTGGATCTGGTCTAATGAAATTAGGCGTAAATGCCAAAGAAACAATTGGCTTCCTTTCAATTAATCGACCTGAATATGTACGTGTATAACAATGACCATGGCAAAATTTTATTGTTGTTATTACTATATCTCCTGATTAAGCTATATTATTCTATTATTTAGATAATTGGTGAACTTGCATGTTATCAATATGGACTTATACCAGTCCCGCTTTATGATACTTTAGGAGACGAAGCAATTAAATATATCATCAATCAAACTGATATGGAATATGTTTTAACTACTTCAAATAAAGCAAAAAGTCTTATTTCATTGCATGAATCTGTACCAAAACTTAAACATATTATAATTATGGACGATTTGGTAGATGACGATTTAAATGATTTAAGACAATTAAATAGCAACATTCAAATTAAAAAACTCACATCTGTAGAGGCTGATGGCGCTATTAATCCAGTAGAAGCCATACCTCCAAAACCTGATGATATTAGTACTATCAGTTATACATCTGGTACGACCGGTTTACCGAAAGGTGTTGTCTTAACTCATAAAAATATATTGTCAACAGGTGGATCTATCGAGTTCCTTAATAGTAAAGGCAAAATGTTTGGTTCATCAAAAGACAATGTTTACATTTCATATTTACCATTAGCGCACGTGCTAGAAAAGGTTAGCGTTACCAGTATGATATATGCTGGTTCTGCAATTGGTTTCTATCAGGGTGACACTTTGAAATTATTGGATGATATTTCCGAGTTGAAACCAACAATATTTGTTTCAGTACCGAGATTACTTAACCGTGTATACGATAAAGTTATGGCTGGTGTTAAATCAAAAGGTGGCATAACGCAATTTTTATTCAATACAGCTTTTAATGTCAAGAAAAAGAATTTAAGTAAAGGAACCGTTGAACATATATTATGGGATAAAATAGTCTTTCGTCCTATTAGAGCTAGACTGGGCGGTAGAGTTAAGTCTATTTTATCAGGTTCCGCGCCTATTTCACCTGATGTAATGGATTTCTTGAGAATTTGTTTTTCAGCTGATGTATATGAAGGTTATGGACAAACAGAAAATGCTGCAGGTATAACGATTTCATTATTAGGTGACACCAATTCGGGTCACGTAGGTGCTCCTCAAACTTCTGTTGAAGTTAAATTGGTTGATGTGCCAGATATGAAATATTTTTCAAATGACAAGCCACTTCCAAGAGGGGAGATTTGTGTACGCGGCAATACTGTTTTCCGTGAATACTATAAAAATCCAGAAAAAACCGCAGAAACTTTGGATGAAAATGGTTGGTGTCATACTGGTGATGTGGGAATGTGGGATAAACAAGGCAGATTGGTTGTTATTGATCGAGTTAAAAATATTTTCAAATTGGCTCAAGGAGAATACATTGCTCCTGAAAAGGTAGTTTAAAAAAAAACCAAAATTTTGATTTATTAAAAATATTTGTCAATTTATTTTATATATAAATTTGACAAATTATTATTTTATTTTAAATAATTAGATTGAAAATACCTATCAAAAACATGAGCTAGTATCACAGGCATTTGTACATGGCGATTCGTTACAAGCATCATTGGTTGGTATTATTATACCAGATCAAGAAAATTTAACAGCTTGGGCTAAAAATAATGGATTTGGTGATAAAAGCTTTGAAGAATTGTGCAAAGAACCAAAAGTTAAAGAACATATTAAAACAGCTTTACAAAAATTTGGTAAAGCCAACGATTTAAAAGGGTTTGAAAATATTAAAAACATTTACTTAACATCTGAACCGTTTTCCGTAGAAAATGGGATGCTCACTCCTACTTTTAAATTGAAAAGACATCAAGCTAAATTACACTTTAAAAAACAAATTGATGAAATGTATGCCGAAATTCAATAATTTTAATAATTAAAAAATGTTTATTATTTATTTTATTTATATATTTACTATTAATGATTTAATATTTTTACAAAAAAAAAAAAAAAACTCTATAATCAATTTATTTATATATATATAATGATTTAAAAATTAGCAAATAAAAATATAATTTAATTAAAATTAGCAAATAAAAATATAATTAACAAAATGAGTAAAGAACCAAATATCTCGGAATGACACCCTAATAAATGATAATGTTTGTTATTATTTACAAATGATAGATAATTCATGTCATTTAAAAATTTTCATTATTTATTTATTTACCATTTCATCTTTTAAAATTACTGCTCCACCATAATCAATTCCTGAAACCACGTCAACTACAAACATTGCTCTGAACGAATTATATGTCGTAACCCTCGCTCCCGTATAATCATGAGAAACACGCGGTGTTGGCCCAAACCACAAATGTTCTATAAAGATCGAGAAAGAAGGCGATGAGAAAAAGAAAATTTTATATATAATCTAAAGAAATGACGACTTACTAATCCCATTAACAGGACTATGGGAATGAATCGTTCTCAATCCATTTTTAATAATTCCACAAGCGTTGCAAGTAAGATTTGTGCATAGATCTTTACAATCTTTAATCAACCTCAAATCACAACAGTGCTTTGTGCCATGGTATAATCTACGTGGAACTAAAAGGGGATGCTTGGATTTATAATCTGAATGAATTTTTTTGATGGTAACTGGCATATCAATCTCGATGATTGAAACGATTTTTGGTGCAGTGGTAGCAGTCGAAAGAATTGCAAGATGAGCCTTAAACTCTTTTTCGATATTTTGATATTGGGAATCACTTGAATATAAAACCTTTAGTAAAGTTGTAGGATTTTCACCAGCAACAAGTGCAGGTGGAATATAATTAGTAGCAGGTGTATAATAATTATTTGTTGTAATGGCAGTAGTAAGTGTATTATAATTATTTGTTGCAACAACAGTAGGAGGTTGATTGTGATTATTAACAGGTAGTGGTGCTGAAATAGGAGGTTTACGATTTTTTAATTTTTTGTAGAATTTTTTGATTTTTTTTAACATTTTCAACTTCATTTTTTTTTTTTTCAAAATTTATTTTTTAAAAAAATTATTAATTAATTGACGCTTTTTCTTTTGTTAAAAAATTGAAAATTATGTAATGATCCGATTGATTTCATTTTAGTCGTGTGAGAGAATTGCTAGTAATTTATATTAAATTTTTTCTAAAAAAGAATTATTAGCTGGAAAATTTCTATTTTTAATTGATTGTAGTTTATCCAATTTGGTATTATCATAGAAAAAGAAAAAATTATAAAGTATTCTCGCTATTGCCTTCTCATTTATCATCATCATCATCATTGTCACTATTATCCTCTCCTTATCATTACAACTACTATTGTCATCATTGCCTTCAACATTGTTTTGTTAATTATAGTCATCGAAATAACTGAGCGTCTTTTAGAATATTTCTTCCAACTTCTTGGTACTATATTAACACTAAATTAAATCTAAATATAGTTAAGTTTATTTATATTTCAATTATTTACGTCAAATCTTTTTTTTTTTATTGGTAATTATTATGCATAATCAATAAAT